AAAATAATAATTAAATATTATATGGTGAACAACAATAAGTAAAACTGTTACTTTCTCTTATATCAAGGGATAAATTTATATGCTAAAATTAAATTGTTATTGGTATAAATGTTTTAGTGAGATAATATATTAATTATTTTACAAGCTAGCCCTAACATGCTCATATTTAATGTCTTAAAAGATGTAGAAAAAAAAACTTATAATAACTCTATTGTTTTTTAGACTTAAACGTTGATTAAAAGAGGTAAAAATTTCTAATTTTTTAGACTTAAACGTTGATTAACACCATAGATTGAGAGTTTATATTTAGTAAAATTCCTAATTGTAATAAAAAAATTAATTTTTGCTATATTTTAAAATATCTTTAAATTCATTATATATATATAAAAAAACAAACTAAAATAAAAAAAGCAAGTCAGCTATATATCGATTTGTTGTACTCCTCAAATCACATTCACAATTTGGCTACAAGGAAAGGAAACTCATTGATTAAAATATTATTTTATCAGTAGTCTTAATGTACAAGAGACTTTAAGACTTCACTTGAATATTATACAACTTTTATTGAACATTGTATAATTTTCTTGCGTATTATAAACTTTTATTGAATATTGCATCTTATAATATAATATTCTCTAAATAAATATATCTCGTGCTTTGCACGGGTCACGTACTATATATATTCCGTACATCTTTCTTTATTCATGTATATAATTATAAGCCTGGATAAATAGCCTTAAAAATGTACATCCCGTGCATCACACGGGCTCTGTACTAGTTTATTAGTACAACGCAAGTGCTAAAATAAAGTTTTTAATTTAAAAAATATATTTTAAACTTTGAATAATAGTAAAAAACTATATTATTATTAATATTTAAAATGACACACTTATTCCTTCTATTGTAATTTTTCGAATTCATATTATATATTAGATTGGTAGATAAATTTATTTAATTGATTAGTAATTTTATTATTATCTAATTGCGATTGATAGATAACTTATTTATTATTATTATTATATGTTTTTGTTTACTTAAATAGCATGATATTCTAGAAAAAAAAGAAGAATTTTTTAAACATTATTTTTTTTTTCATTTCATTTTGGTAATTTTTTTATTTACATTTCTTGGTGGGACTTTTATTTTTATTTTAGGTAATGTGATATCAACAATTAATCTAAATCTAAAATTCAACTTCATAAAAATTTTCAATCAATTATTTTATTTCTATCTAATCTATTTTTATTTTTATTTATTTAGTGACGTTATATAAATAATTAGACATTAAACATACCAAATATTTTCAATCAATTTTTTCATTTCTACCTAATATAGAGTTTTATTTTAATTGAATAATATAAATTAACCCATATGGTTATATACTAATCACTCCAAAGATAACTGTTTGTGAACTGAAAAAGATATGAAACTCAAAATATTTTTGAAATGTCCAGATTAAAAAATATGTAAAAATAATTTGTTTCCTATTTAGTTTCTCTCTCTCTCTCTCTCGTTCTTACAAAGTATTAATATAAATGTAATATTAAAAAATTAATATTATTTTTATATGTTATATATATTTTGTTTATAATATTAAATTAACCATGATTTGTGATCGACATACATTATAAGTATAAATAATAAGTAATGTTTTTAAATTGTTAACAAGTTCATTAGTTGTTACATAAATCAAAATTTTTGTAACTTATATCATAGAACTACTTGAAATATAAATATATTAATTGATGAATAATTTTATTTTTCTAATTAATATTCAAAAAATATTTTATTATTGTTATAAAGATTAATATAATTATTTTTTTATACATAACAATATGGATGTTAAATCGAAGCTCAAAGAGATGATTAATTTGATATATTATATATGTAAAACTGATAAAAAATACAAAAGTTATTAACTTTTAAAATACATTTACAATTCAATGGTCATAATAAGAAATGATATTAAAATGCAATTAATACATGTAACATGATCATAAATAATCAACATATATATGGATAATCTGGACCTAATTATTTTTGGATTGGAATTAAATTAAAACCTACACAAGTCTAATAACGAAGCATGTAATTTTGCCACATAGGATCCCGAAGCATGTGAGTCTGCCACTTAGGCTCAGGACGTTGTGAATTATTATATAGGTTGGATTGGATATTCAATATCGATTAAGAAAAATATTATTTATTTTAAAATATCACTGTTTATGAAGACATTATTTAAAAATCTTTTTTGTACGAAAATATTATTTATTTAGTAGCTATATTCGATTTTGTAAATCAAAATTGCATCGAAATAAGATTTTTAATTATTGTACTAATTATTAATACTTTTAATTATTTAATTAATATGTAATCAAATTTTTAGTTTAGTTTAACAATTTTTAGTTTTTTGAAATATGATTTAAATTGCGCTAAAAGCTAATATGCAATTGTATTGCCTAATGAATTACACTAGTACATCTTGGATATATTAAACGGACCATGGAGGATAAAATTATTTTATAGAGACCAAGTAAATAATCTAGACCTCAATTTTTATTCGTACTCTTAAGTTATAAGATAATGAATGGTCGTATGCGTTAAATATTTATTACATTGATTTATCAAAAAGTGATATCCAATTACTAGGTCATTGTGCTGGGTGATTTTGGTAATAAATGTTAAATGCATTATGTTCTGTTGAGATTTTTTACAGTAACCGTGTCCTGGTGTGCAGGATTGATGGCGTCTCCAAAATGAGCTCAAGACGTTCTGTATGTTAAACTCAGCAGATGGATTAAGTTCCAACATGATGAAATGGTTCACCGATACAAATTTCGTATACAAGAAGTTGATTAATTATATTATCAATAATTAAATTAATCAAGAGAGTTAGATCTTAAACATGACGAGATAGATCGGGTGAATAAATGTAGGGATGATGTGAAATAAGGATGTTCAATAATATTTATTTAGTGGAATGAAGTATTATTCGTGTGTCATGGGTGTAGGTGGATCAGAGCCTTAGTATCCATTTCACATGAGGAGTCTTAATTTAACACCTCCTCCTTGTGCTTGCTGTAGCCTATAAATACCAAAAGCCTCCAACTTGATTCATTATTGCACACAGGATATCACGAGTTTTCTCATCATAATTCTCGAACAAAAACCGAGATGGATTAGAGAAATAGGCGTGACATCTTAGGCAAGAAAGTTGTAGACAATTGGATCTCGTTTCTTTTTTTCCTGAGATCGAACGTGCATGAGATTTGAGACAGGGAGATTATAGCAGTCGTCGCCCAAAAAAGTGAACTCAAAGAGGTGTTAGTACATACGGCAGAAAGTCAATAGGTCATCCGTTCGTTCGGTCCGTAGACCGTGTAAGTTTGTAAAGAGTCAAGAATCTTAAATTGTAAGATTCGAATCCTAGATTTAGTTTCGTTACGTGTAGGATTCAATTTCTTATATTCATGTTAAATTCAACACACAATTATAGACGTTCTACATTGAATCCAACACAAACGACACTATCCCGCCCAAAACCTGTATTTTTCGGATCCTCACCAGTCATCCTTTGACCGCGACAAAGATCAATGGTTGTGTTCAAGGATCTAGCTGTCACCTGACCAAAAAATTGATCTCCACCATTTCCACGAAGCCATTGTAGGCTTGGTAAAATTGTGAAGCTATGAAGCAGTGAAAAATATGGTGTTGAGTGACTGGATATTGTTCCCGTTTCCTTCAATTATCGACTGTTGTGTGGATTCGAGTCTCAATGCGACGTTGCTCAGGTGATCGACCAGCTGGAAACAGAAGTGCAGCTGATGGTGTCCTAAGAGAAGACGGTCTTCATTTCGGTGACGATTTGAGGGGAAGACGGAGATGCTGATGAGGAGGAAGACGACATTACGCAG